CACTGAGGGATGGCATTTCCTGGGTGGAGAGAGCGTTGATGTAGCCGGAGTATTCTGCGCCGAGCATGAATCTGCAGGCCCTTTTTTGTATGTATGTATGTATGTATGTGCATGGCGACCTGTGGTGTAATGGTCAGCATGATCACCTCGCTAGCGAGGGGACCCAGGTTCGATCCCCATTTGCCTCTGTCTACCCAGCAGTAATTGGGAACCTGGATGTAAATCGATTTGAGGATCGTGTTCCGGGATGATGGTTAGCCATTGCAGTTGGCGAGTTGTCCAAGTGATGGTCATTAGTGATGGTTGTTAGTAATGGTTGTTATTAGGGACTGTTGTTAGTGCTGGTTCCTAGAGATGGTTGTTAGTGGTAGTTGTTAGTAATGTCATTAATAATGGTCGTTAAGAATGGTTGTAAATAGTAATAGTAAGTGATATCCGTTAATGATGGTTGCTAGTGGCGATTTTTAGTAATGTTTGTTAGTGATGGTCGTTAGTGGTAGTTGTTAGTAATGTGTTTTAGTAATGGTAGTTATTGTTGATAGTAGATGGTGGTAGTTACAGGTTAGTGATGATGATGGTTAGCGATTCTTCTTGGTGACGTACGTGCGTATCTCTCTCTCTCTCTCTCTCTCTCTCTCTCTCTCTCTCTCTCTCTCTCTCTGCATGTGTCACCTTCCCTAGTTTTCTCACGGTCCAAGTTTTCCTCTCTCTTTTCCTACCTTTTACTTTCTCTCAACGTCATTCCTTGGTCTATTAACCTTTCCCCTCGTACACTCCGTCCCTCCAATACTCTTCCCTCCTCTCTCTCCCTCCCTCCACTCCCATTACATTACAATAAACAAACATCAACACTATCACAGATATTCCCTTGGCAGTATTATTATGACCCACTCGTTCACCTAATAAAGGGCTATATAATCGCTGGTGTGGGTGTATGTTTGTTTTAGGTATGTTTGTATGTTTAGGATTACCCGGTACCTCTCGTATGTTTGTGTATTATTTGCTGTGCTATATTTATGTACGCAGTGTGTATGTGAGTGCAAGTATTTGTGTTCACCACCTACACACACGTGTGTGTAGAGAGAGAGAGAGAGAGAGAGAGAGAGAGAGAGGACCAGGGAAAACACAAACATCTTGACTAAGTTGGGTTTCTTTAGTTAGTAACGTTTCGAAAAATAATTTCCCATCACCAGATCCTAGAAAACAGAAAGTAAAAAAATTACAGGTAATATACAATTAAAACGAAACATTATTCTAAAATTTATATATATACTAGAGGCAAATTGCCTAGTTTCACTCGGGTTAGGTATATATCCTATATCACCTTGACTGCCCCCCACCCCCCGACACGGGTACCTCAGTTGGGAAAGATTTTTTGTTCCTGCCTAAACCCCCCGGAGTCCGTGGTCAATAGTAATACCAAAGAGCATAAACCTTGTGTAATATGTGTGTGTGTGTAAAGCTTCAGGTCTCTTACTGCTTCCTTTTTGGAACTATTGCTGGAACAGACAGACAGACAGACATCTTTTTTTATCATAAGTACAGATACATACGTATCACACGAACTATTATAAAACATGCAGACTTTTCCAAACAAAAATATAATCAGTTAGTTTCCAACAACCAATATCCAATCTACGTTCTCCTACACTAACACCAGCAACCAACAACCATTACGCATTCTTCTAAACTATTATCAACAACCAAGATAGAATCACCTACAATACCATCAACAATAACATCTATGATACATTTTCCTACACTACCACCAACAACCACACAACCACACAACCACATTTATACCTCGTGTGAAAACCAAACATTTCCATCTCTTGGTGCCCGCCCTGGGCTCTGTTCATCCTGGATTATATATGAGAAAACACTTCCTCTATTACAGGTAGGGGAAGGATTAGTGTTCGTGTTATGGGAGCTTGGGTCGATTTTTTCCAAGGGTTGTTGGAGGAGGGTAGTGGAAAAATGTCACTGAATTATTTATGTTATTAGCGGGACTATTGGGAGTAAAGAGAATTTAGTAGGAGTAGTAGTAATAGTAGTATTAGTAGTAGTAGACTTTGTATGACTAAACGTAGAAGTAGAGAAGTAGACTTTGTGTTACTAGTTGTAGGCAATGGAGGTGTTTGGCGGAAGTGAGGTCAAAATAACAATGGAAGACCAAAGACACCAAGGCGCAGTAATTGGCACGACTGACTTCAAGACCGAGTATGTAACGGGAAAGGTGAAACACCTTCACTTAACCCCAGCAGAAAGATCACTCCTTGCTCTACCACCGAGACTGGGAGGAATGGGATTGACCAATCCAGAGGAGATTGCTGCCACCGAACATCAAAACTCAGTTAAGCTCACGGCAGCCCTCACGGACCACATAATAGCTCAGAACACAACAGGGGAGGTGGATACCAGCGAAGTAAACAAGATTCGAAGGTCCATTACGACAGAACGATAGCACAGCCAAAGGGATAAGTTGCAGCAACTGTTGTTGCAAGTACCAGAGAATTTGAAAAAAAAAGTAGCTAGAGTGCAGGAGGTGTACGCCTCAAACTGGTTAACTACGTTACCGATATGGGCAAATGGTTTCAGTCTCAATAAACAAGAATTTACAGATGCCAATGCTCTAAGGTACGGTAGGCCAGTGGAAGGTTTGCCTTCCCAATGCGTGTGTGGCTCTTCCTATGACGCCGATCACACCATGGTGTGAAAGAAAGAGGGCTTCATATGCATGAGGCATGACGAAGTAAGGGTTCTCACAGCAAATATGTTGAAGGAAATCTGCCGTGATGTCAGGGTAGAACCGACCCCATTTCCATTGGACGGTGAGATTTTCCAACATTGGACTTCAAACACATCCAACGAAGCCCATGTTGACGTCAGTGCTCGAGGATTCTGGACGCAAAAACGGCGAGCCTTCTTCGACATCAGGATCTTTGATCCCATGGCCGCATGTCACCGTAACTTAGCTCTCGATGCTGCACACAGGAGGACCGAGAACGACAAGATAAGGGCATATGGGGAAAGAATTCTGAACGTTGATCAAGGCAGCTTTACTCCACTGGTGTTCACAACCTCCGGTGGGATGGGACCAAGTGCAAGATGCTTCTACGGAGGTGCTCTCCGAACAGAAGCAGTAGCCCAGAAGTTATGTTACAGCCTGGATGAGATATCGACTGCCCTCTCTCCTTCGGTCGGCTTTGCTCTGCCTCAGAGGAACGAGAGCTTCGGCCCCAAAGCCGACAACAGCTGCAGATATTGACTGAGGTTACAGTCACTGAATGCCGCATAGATCTGCGGCTCAACTAATTCAACACAGCTAGGATAGCTACTTATGTATTAGGATACTTAATATGAAGGTAATAAAATGGCGGCGAAGGTGTGGCTATTGGGGGAGGCTGGAGGCCATTAAAAAGAAAAAAAGTGTTAGTAGTAGTACGTACAACATCTAGATCAAGTGATCAAGTGTCTATGCTTTGCAATGTAAGTTGAATCACTTACAGGAACCCGACAAACCTCTATATAACTAGCTTCAAGACCATCAAGTCAACTGAGGGAATAACACAGGCCTATCCGTGCTCCAACATAAAATATGAAACAACCCAGGTCAGCCAAGTGGCATTTGCTAATGACTTTACAGGAGCAAGAAAAGCGGAGGGCATCAAAAAGTGGTGGGACCTAGTAACATCACGTAGTCGACAAATAGGGTACCCAAACGCTAGCAAGTCGTTCCTCATTGTGAAGCCAGAATACCATGACCCGGGCTACAGAGGCGCTCAGCGGAAGTGAAGTCAAAATAACAAAGGACGGCCAAATACGCCTCGGTGCGGTAATTCCACGAATGATTTGAATAATGAGTATGTAACTGGAAAGGTAAATTAGTGGGTGAACGAAATCAAAGCTTTGTCTCTTGCTAAAACCGAGCAACATCTAGCGTTCTTTCATGGAGTCAAGTATCAATGGAACTACCTGATGCGCACTATCACCGATATCGAACCTCTCCTATATCCTCTGGCAGAAGCCATCGGGATGACCTTCGCTTAACCCAAGAAGAAAGGTCACTCCTTGCACTACCACCGAGACAGGGAGGAATGGGAATTTACTAATCCAGAGGAGCTTGCTGCCACTGAACATCAGAACTTTGTCAAGATCATGGCAGCCCTCACTGAGCCCATAGTTGCTCAAAATGCAGCAAACGAGGTGGATTTCAACGAATTAGACAAGATTTGACGTTCCATAATAACAGAACGGCACACACCCAAAATGAAAAACTCCAACTGATGCAGGAATTGTCAGGGAACTTGGGAAACAAAGTAGCTATAGCGCAGGAGGTGGGCGCCTCGAACTAGTTAACATTACCGGTAAGTGCAAAGGGCTTTAGCCTTAACAAACAAAAATTTACAGATGGCTTGCTCTAAGGTATGGTTAGCCATAGAATGTATGCCCACCCATTGCTTGTGTGGCTCATCCTACGAGACTGAACACGCCATGCTGTCACTTGATTTTACTACACTTCCACTTGATATATTCTTTCTGAAGATGGGTTCTGCGTAGCCCGAAACGTTAGAGGACTAAAGAAATAGCTACTTTCATTTGTTTCCCTTCCCCCCATCAAATCCACTTGTCGTCGTGGATCGAGCACAAAAGTTATTATATCTTAAAATATCAGAATATAAATATGATAGATTAAATACGAAAGAGCTGTAGGGATTCTTTGGGTGTCTGTCCGTCAGCCAATCAGTTGCCATGCTATAAACAGACCCTAGGCCTCAGTTCCAGGTTTAGAATGAACAAACTATAATTCATCTAAGGGCACCCTCAGTTATCCAGCTGGCAATGGTTACCTAACTCTGTAGTTAAGAAAGTGAAGGCAGTATGGTGGTGTGACGGCCACACTGCCTCCCTGTGTAGTAATAAAAGCTAAACTAAGAACTACAGTTTAAGGCACTCGCTATCACCTCTATACTGCATAAGCTCTATATCTCTCTCCCCAGACACACCGGAGAGCGACCCTCACATATCTGGTACCCGCAACAAGTACCACGCCGGGGATGTGGTACAGGTGAATTGTACCTCCTCACCCTCCAAGCCTGCCGCTGCCCTCATGTGGTACGTCAACGACGATCAGGTATGTATGGTACACCACAGTGCACTGGAGATAGGTGCGGTACAGCTTGTGGACCGTAGGTAGATATTTTTGGTATGGTTTGATGATCAGGAACACTTTGAAAATCTCAGTTACAGGAACGTTACACCCTGGTGGTCGTAGGTAAGGTACAGTACACCTTGATAGTGATAGTTGCATGTACGGTACACCTTGATGGTGATAGTTAGGGTAGGGTAGACCTTGATGGTGATAGTTAAGGTACGGTACACCTTGATGGTGATAGTTGCATGTACGGTACACCTTGATTTGTGTATGCATATTGGTGATAGTTAAAGTACGGTACACCTTGATGGTGATAGTTAAGGTACGGTACACCTTGATGGTGATAGTTAAGGTACGGTATACCTTGATGGTGATAGTTAAGGTACGGTACACCTTGATGGTGATAGTTAAGGTACGGTACACCTTGATGGTGATAGTTAAGGTACGGTACACCTTGATGGTGATAGTTGCATGTACGGTACACCTTGATTTGTGTATGCATATTGGTGATAGTTAAGGTACGGTACACCTTCATGGTGATAGTTAAGATACGGTACACCGTGATCTTTATAATTACATTTTTATATTCAGTTTAACGTTTTAGGTATCTAACTTTTTGGGGTCCTCTAATTGTCGCGGGCTGATGGTACAGTTGATTAATATTCTAAAAAGGAAAGAAACACAACGCAGAAAAGTTCGACACACTCTCAGACAAGGATTATAAATGTTCAAATCAACTACGACACGAAATTCAACGTCGAATCCACAACCAGAATCCACAGAGAGGTGAAGAGGGTTAGCGTCTTCTCTACTCCAATATTACGTTATAACAATTGCATGAACGCAACGTAGCTCGCTTGCAGCTTTCAATATTGTTATATTCTAAGTGGACATTAAAATCGACGAGAGGTTCTTTCAATGCAATTAGAAAAAAAAATGCTAAAGACAGAAACGATGAAAAGCAGAGGTAAGTCATGCATTCGAACAATAAACAAATTTAATCCTCGAGGTAGTCTCAATTGTAGCATAGCTTTACTCTATCAGAGTCACAGCATTCAAAGTCAAAACCATGAGCATCATGACCCCAGATGAGGAATGGGTCACCTTCAGCAGTCCTGCTTGTGGGGTTCACTAAAAGCACCATCAGCCAGCACCGTGATGGACGGATGTCACCAACTTAAGCCATAGAGTGAGTTCATTATTTGGGCGCTTCATCACGGCGCCGTCCAGAGAACCCGGGAAACTTTGTCTGGTAAGTTGAGCGAGAGAAGGTGTTATTAAGACCATCTCAAACTTCATAACCACCGGAGAAAGGCGATGAAATCTCAAAGTGGGAAATTCCATCGTCCACCTCTGGCAAGCCTCTCAGGGTTTGTCTCGTTGGGTGGAAGCTTGAAGAAGGGAGTAAGAAAGGGAGAGAGAGAGAGAGAGATCTAGGATAGGATAACAAATATTAGAGAGAGGAAGTGTGCAAACAAAATATGGATATAAGTAGAACATAAAGGATGTGCTATAGATGGTACATGTGGAAGAGACGATCTGGATATGAGAGAGAGAAACAAGGGGAGAGGTGGGAGAGTAAAGCGAATGGTAGTGGTGAGGGCAGGAGAGTGTGAAGGATGTTAGAGATTAATGAGAGAGGGTGTGGGAGAGGGGCCACAACCCAGAGCCTTCTACAATTGAACCAAATTTGGAAGAAATAAGACCCGTTCGTTTACTTCGTTCATTTGTTGAAAACAAAATTTTCCTTTCTTTTTTGGCCATTAAAAAGCACCAAAATTTTAATTTTACAAAAACAAACCACAAGGAACTTAGCATTATACTCTGTATAGTACACTCGTCGTGTGGATATTGCAAAAGAAGAAGTGAAGTGACTTACCCAATACCCGGCTTATAAACGGTCTTGAAATGGTATTTGCCTTTGTATATGCAGTTGTGGGTTACTTGATTAATTTTTTATACAGTACATTTTAAATACAGGTGTACAGTACATATCACAAACATACAAATAGTCTCCGAATTAAAAAATAGACTAATTACATTATGAATAAAAATAGATAGTAAACATGACGGTAACAGAGTAATTTATAATGCAAAGATTTCGTTGTGATGTCTGGTGGTCTCCGCTCCCATGGCCACACAAGACCTCTGTACCCTGTTCTCCTGGGCATCTGTCCTCTTGGTACACCTCTGGCCTCCGGAGCTTTTCGCCTTTTTAATAACTTCAAGTCAGTAACACCTGTTCTCATATTTAAGTAGAATTGCTCTCAGACTCAATAATACAGCGATTTTCAGGTCAATGGCACTTGTTCTACAAGTCTAAGGGTTGTGTATTTCCCATATTAATCTGTTCTCTCATTTCTCCTTCATGACCAGGCAGACAGCGCGTTCCTGGTCGACTACGCTCCAGTGCCCAATGGTGAAGGGCTGGAGACCTCCATCCTGGGGCTCCACTTCCGCGCTAGGCCAAGTCACCTACGCCAGGGACGTCTTAAGCTTCGCTGCACCGCCACCATCGCCGCCGTCTACTTCCGTGAGAACACCATCTACGCCCGCGCCCATCTTACCCCCCGCCGCGACCCTCTCGAGAGCCAGGGCATGTTAACTGGTAAGTCTAGTCATGGGTCGTTCTGATGGGTTGCTAAGTTAATGTTGATGGTCTTTCATTATCTGATCACCTTAGTATACCCCAGTGGTAGAGTATGCGTATAACATTAAGTTAATGGTAGTCTGGTGTTTTACCTGTCAGTCTATTTTCATGACCTATGTTTTGTTGTATTGTGTTGTATTACTGAACCATGTTGTATTGTATTACTGAACCATGTTGTGTTGTATTGTGTTGTATTACTTAACCATGTGTTGTATTGTGTTGTATTACTGAACCATGTGTTGTATTGTGTTGTATTACTGAACCATGTTGTGATGTATTGTGTTGTATTACTGAACCATGTGTTGTATTGTGTTGTATTACTGAACCATGTTGTGTTGTATTGTGTTGTATTACTGAACCATGTTGTGATGTATTGTGTTGTATTACTGAACCATGTGTTGTATTGTGTTGTATTACTGAACCATGTGTTGTATTGTGTTGTATTACTTAACCATGTGTTGTATTGTGTTGTATTACTGAACCATGATGTGTTGTATTGTGTTGTATTACTGAACCATGTGTTGTATTGTGTTGTATTACTGAACAATGTTGTGTTGTATTGTGTTGTATTACTGAACCATGTGTTGTATTGTGTTGTATTACTGAACAATGTTGTGTTGTATTATTGACCTATGTTTTGTTGAATTATTGATCTAAGTTGTATTGTATTGTGTTGCATTATTATTGACGTATGTTGTGTTGTAAAACTGACCATTATTTCTCTGTGTGTTGCAGGCGTGTCAGCGGGTGTATTGGATGTGCAGGTGTGGGTAGTGTTGATGGGTGTGGCTCTTGTGTTGCTGAGGTAACACCCGCCTCCTGCCATCCTTTCAACCCCCACCACTACCCTGACCTGCCTTGAGTCCCCACAATCCTTCCAGACAGGTAAGGTGACTGCTCCAATCTCTCTCTCTCTCTCTCTCTCTCTCTCTCTCTCTCTCTCTCTCTGTTAGTAATTATACAGTTGAAATGCGATAAATAAACTAGTAAAAGAAGGCTGTGCTGATTGGAAGCATTTTAGTGAAAACTAAAATCTCATGAGTCATGAATGAACACTTGTTCAACTTAACCAAATAGATGGAAGTGAACAGAAGGCTGTCTTCAATGAATAAAGAAAATGATTATTTGGCGATCGGTTCTAACACGTATTATAGCATCTGTGCAGTACCTAGATGAGCACAACTCCGCTTTGGACAAGTCTTTGAGTCATTAAGCCGAGATGTTTTCGGAGCTTCGAGTACTCCGAGAACTCATTCCCAAAGAAGAAAAAAAAAAGCACTTCAAGTCCTTCAGTTTCTAAAATCCTGTAAAATTACTACCTCTCCAGGACTTTTGTTTAATTTCGCGACTGCATCCTATTGTTTATATATATATATATATATATATATATATATATATATATATATATATATATATATATATATATATATATATAATAACCATTCGAGTTCAAAGCTGTAAAATATTATTGACTCTCTCTGTCTCTCTCTCTCTCTCTCTCTCTCTGTCTCTCTCTAGTTTAATCAGGTTTTTTCTCTTTACAGGTGTGTGTTTCCTCTCATCTTCCCTCACCCCCTTCCACCACACCTCGCCACCAAGCTACACAGTGCCAAATATCACACACTGTTTCACCAACCTGAAAATACAACCCGAGTGAAACTTGAGAGAGGAATTCAAAGATGCAATGTAAGCATGTAAGCGTATAAGTGAATATGCAACCTGAACTGCAACTTGATTATACTGTATATCCTAAGAGTGCAACTTGAGAACAGAACTTAGGAGCATAGCCACTAACACTTCTTTAGTGTAATACAATATCTGAATTTACGGTAATCCAGAGAAAACTTGAAAATGGCTGAAAATCTTGCTTAACATTGTTTGCAAAAATGCAACGTTTGAGTATTGTGATGATGATGGAGACCAGTATTTGTAAAGACTAATGAGCTTTTGCGTATTATTGAAAATTGGTCTTGAAAAGTAATTTTATATCTGGATTTTCTCTTCCACTATCACTTTACGTCGCCATAAGCTCTTGCAATATCCCCTTTTGGGGGAATTGATCTTTCAGTGTCACTTAAGTTCACAAATTTCTCTTGTTATCACTTTGTCACCCTCTTCTCTTGAAGCATCAATGAAAAATATATATAAAAAACTACGGAAAGGAGAAACCTCATTACAAGGTCCTTCTACAACTTAGAATCAATATGAAAACTCGTTAAATGTTCACGAAATATAAGAAGCTCCTGCACGAGTCTCGTTACCATTGATTGATGCAATGAATTTGTGGTGGGTGACATAGGAGCAACATTTACTGCAGAACTCTGTTGATCTCTAATTAACTGTCATTATCAAGGTACTAGGGAGTCTCAAGAATCTTTTCTATTATTAAGCTGAAGGACATAGACAATAATTTGAAGGGTTGGGTTTCTTATCTTTCTAAGGAACTTGGTGAATGTTTGCATACTTCCATGAAGAGGTTAAGATTGAGGTGCGAACAGATAGTATGAAAAGTTTGGAGAATATCGGTAAATAACTTTTGAGAACAAGCGGGGGAGAGTATTATTCCGACCTGCAGTGTTCTCACTTATCAAAACGTGCATTACTTTTCTATTTATTTTGTTTTAAATTTGATAGCTAAAATTTCAGGAACTTCCAAAAACAAAAATGGGGAATAATTCGCTCATCTTCCTGTAGGGCTAAACCTGAACTAATACTAAAACTTGAGCAGAGTAGAACGACTTTCTCCTGAAAAAAAGTTGAACTCTCAAAACCGCCAGGCGAGTGACCTTAAGAACGCGGGCAAAAACTTTTCTCATGTTTTATAAAATACCAATCAGATGAGGAAGGATGGACATTGAGCTGACCAAACACACATATAGTTATTAAGTTAGTTTAAAGTTACCTTTAAGCATTGCTAAAAATTTATATAACCTTTATTTTTCAAAGGCACTTCATTGATGTCTCCAATTTACCCATTGTCTCCACAACAATATTTGAACCTCTGAATGAACTGGCCCGTAAATTTTAACCAGAAAAATTATTTATAAACTAAAGAAAGGAAAAACTAAATCAATATGAAATGATAATTAATTTTGTTATTGAATAATAAACAATTAGAAACAATTTGAGCTTTTAACCTCGAGGAAATTTTCATTTATGTACCTTAAACTTTAACTAATTTGCGGAAATTTACACAGATTAATGGACTACAAAGAGCGTTGTATCAACATAGATCAGTTTCCTGCATAACGAGAGTGGAAACTACACACATAATTATCTCTCACGGCAGTTGTCGCGACAGGGAAGAGGAGAAATAAGTTTGCATTATCGCTTAGAGGTAAGATGTATCTTGGCAAAAGATAATGCATAAAAATTATATTGCAAGAGAAGAAGAATATAAAACAACTATTACATAATAAACCTGTTCAACAAAGGTGATATTTGACGAGATGTAAGCAAAAAGCAGGTGTGAAGTAGCAGGAACAAGTACACTTACAGCAGAATTAGCAGTAACAGTAGTAACACCACCGAAGGCAGTAATGTCAACCAGAGATATTGTCGCACTAGCAAGGATATCAAGAGCAGCAGCAGCAGCAGAACGTGGTAACAGCACTGTCAGAAGTAGTAGCAACAGAGGTCTGGAGTTAGGAACAGCCTCTCTGGAGACAACAGCGGCAGAGGTAATGCAAGTGCAAAATTCTTACAATGTATATGATGGTGATAGTCTGCAGTGTTTCCTCTCAGTTGCAGCCGCTGTGTGTGTGTGTGTGTGTGTGTGTGTGTGTGTGTGTGTGTGTGTGTTTGTGTGTGTTTATCTCAGGCTGGTGTGACAATGAGACACACCCGTGCCACACCCACCCTACCACGCACTCATCTCAAGGCTCATTATCGATTCTGCAAGCCACCGTGTTGAGGAGCTTATGAATCCTTACGTAATTAAGAGGAATGTGCAGTTTAACGCCGGGAGGCGCCGGCTGGCAAGGGGCGTTTGTCGCTCAGTTTAGTCAGGGAGCAACAGCAGTGGCAACAGCTGTTGTCGACCTTGTGCTGCTGTTACCGTGATTCATTGTCCAGCAGCGGCAACAGCAGAAACAGCAGGTGGTGGAGGCAGTGAGGCTGTGATTGGATGGATGTTCCCGTGTACACACGATGGCCCCAGATATTCCAGTCCTTAGAGAGCTTAGTAATGCCTCCCTGCTCCGCCACCGCCTCGCCTCGCCTCGCCCCGCCCCGCCCCGCCCCCACCCCATGTGGAGATGTGAGATGAAATATGTCAAGTGTACCTCAAGAATAAACAGTAAATGTAGTTTTCTATGGAATGTTATCTGCACCGTCTAAATATGTTAATATAAGCAAAACACATTTATTTTTGTTTTTGTGGGATGTCACGAGTGAGGTAACCAAGTTATTGCATAGTGACATCACGGGGATGTTACCATGCCTTTGTGCAGTGACGTAGTCAGGGTATGGCGACGTTACCAATATTTGCATAGTGACATCACAAACTCACTTTGCCATGATATCACCAAGTCACTGTACATTGTCAACACCAGAACACTGTGCAATGATATCATCAGGCTATTATAGAGTGACATCAGCAGGTCATTATATCGTGACACTGTACATTGATAACACCAGGTTATTGTACATAATGTACAGTGATGTTTGACTAGATGATAATTCTGATGTCTCCGCACTCTGTATGGTGATTCTGACATCAATTACTGTATGATAATTGTATGGTGATTTTGATGTCATTAAATCATTGTATGGTGATAGAATGGTGATTATGTCATTAACTCATTGTATGATGACAGTATAGTGATTATGATGCTTTTAGACAATATACTGTATAATGATTATGATGGCGATTGTTTTGTCACTAAACAATTTCGTGGTAATTCTGAAGTTACTAAATCACTAAACGGTAATTATGATGGTGATTATGACGTCATTGAGTTACTGTAGTAGTGTCTGAATCACTGTAACATATGGGTCACTGTATTATTTGAGCTACTGTATGGTTTTTAATTTTCTTTACCTTACGAAGTTCAATCACATTAACGATAGCAAATAAAACTCTGAAAATGAATTAAAATTTTCATTACGAATAAATGTTTTTATTAAAAAATTCCAATTTAATTTTCGGACCACTCTTGTTTGCCTCCTCCATTTGACTCCACGTTACTCCAAATATATATATATATATATATATATATATATATATATATATATATATATATATATATATATATATATATATATATATATATATATATATATATATATATGCGCCTCGCCCTCCATGTGTGTGTCTGTATGTCCGTCTGCACTCTTGTATAGATCACTCCACTTGTACGCCCACGCACGCTTCGATCTGAAACGCATTTGTTCTGCTAATTATCTGATCTACGGTTCCAAGTCTCTGATTGGCTGGTTGAAGGTAAATCTGCAGACGTCAAATATATATATATATATATATATATATATATATATATATATATATATATATATATATATATATATATATATATATATATATATATATATATATATATATATATATATATATATATATATATTGTCAAAAGTTTCAACCACATTTTCTTGCTCACTTTAAATTAACTGTTTCGACCCATTACAGTTATTGTGGCTAGAATAAAATTTCACACATATTGGGCAACTCTTTATCTTATTTATATGTTTATTTGTTACTCTCACGCGTCTTGGTCCTCATATAGCTGCTGAAGTTTTGTGTTATTAAATCCTCACACGTTTCTATCTCTCGCTCTTTCGATATTAGTATTATTTTATTTGGCTTACTTGTAAAGCAATTCACTCCACTAAATATTGGTATTTGTTTTTTTAAAGGTGGAGCAACATTATGATATCGGAACGTAACCACTTGTAGGTCACCCAACACAATCTGAAATACACCACATTTGTCTATCTTTAATTTACGCCTTACCTTAAACTTAATTTAACCTAACGTTATCCTAGCATTAATCTAACCTAACCGAACCTAACCTAACCTAAACTCAGCCCAACATACTAAACGTAATTCAAACCTACAAAAAGAAACACTGATATCGTAACGTCAACCACTTGGTCCGTATCATCAATCAGTTTTAGTAAAAGTTAAACAAATCTTACTTGTAACATACATTGGCAATCTTTTTTTGTTTTAAAATTTTAACATAATTAATTTCAACAGAGTATTTTTGTTATTCAGAGCTACAAATCCGTATATGTTTCTGTCAGTTATTATACTGTGTAACTTGACTTAATAAATATGTTAAAAATTTGGGACCACAAAAAAGGGTTCAATTTGGTTTAAAATGTTGCCCAATTTCTTAGCTGGTCGTTGGGTTGTAAATTATAAATAGTTTATTCTTCCCTTCAGAGCAAAACAAACCTGTATTTACACAACAATTCCCGTATATAATATTCCTTAAAAACTAAAATATTAATGTAATTGCTATTTGTTTATAACCTCAGTTTGGCGTAAACAATATGTCTCTCTTATGTCTCCAAATTCTACATTCTACAGGGAAGTTTTAATATACAGTACATTGATATTTTTAACCCAAAGTTTACTACACCATGTTAATGATATGATGAAGGTTAATAAATATTATTATATATGATAAATTTATTCCTTACCCCAAATATCTTATATATATATATATATATATAAAATGCAAGTAAATCACTGCAGGTGCGCGTGATCCAGGTATATGCTGATAACCACAAGGAAAAGGAAAACATGAAGTTTCCAAGCGCTTTCGTGTAATTCACATCTTCAGAGGTGAGTACAGACTAAGGAGAAATACATAACTAGGCATATATATACAGTATGGTGTGGTACAACTGCTTCGGGGTCAATCATGTGGCGAAATACTGTCACAAGACAGTCACCTGCGGCATCTGCACAGGAATGCATAGCACGAGGAGCTGCCCCACCAAGGAAGCTGCCTCTCGGGAGGGGAGAGAGTAGCCCCCCCCCCCTCACCTGGGAGGCAGTGTCCCAGGTGCAGGGAGGAGGGTGTGATGGCCTGGCACCCAGGTTGTCCTGGGAGGCCACCCCCACCCACAATAGCGGTCCCACTCAGTGATGCCAACGCCAACACTGCCGGGTCGTCTCCATCGCCTGAAATCAACAGCCACACCTCCCCACCCAGGAGGCAGTGTCTCGGGTGCAGGGAGGAGGGTGTGACGGCCTGGCACCCCGGTTGTCCTGGGAGGCCGCCCCCACCCACAATAGCGGTCACACTCAGTGATGCCAATGCGGCCGGATCGCCTCCACCACCTGAAGTCAACAGGCACAGTGACTCTCTTTCGTTATCCAATGCAGGTCAGGTTAAAGCCTGCCAAGTAAGTGTACCAGTAAACAATGGCAGTGATAGTGTCAGTGGAGCTGCTGAAGGAGCTGGTGACTCCTCTCATAATGATGCGAACTTGAGGGTGAGTAGCCAGAGCGAGACCGATGGTGAAGGAAGCATGAATGGGGAGAATGAGCCCCAGACAACTAGCGTGGTCTCTTTAATAACCCCAGGTCTGAAAACTGTCCATAACCCTGTACTTCTTCCAATATTTTCGGAGGAGGAACTCGCGGGACTAATGAAGGAACCTGTGTATAAAAATCCTACTGGAATAAGCGCTGTGAGACGCATTATCAAGAACTCCAGGGGTAATGAATTTGAAACGGTTAACTTATTGGTCAGGTTGATCTATGAAGCCAACACGCGACTCTATACTAAGTTCAAGGTGGAACGAGTAACACGAACGATTAGGTTCATTTCATGGAACATCCGGAGTGTTAACCGCAGAATTAATGACCTACAATGATTTGTTAAAGTTTTTAACATTGACGTAATAGTTTACAAGAACCTTACACGTCCAGCACCCAGAAGAAAGCTGCACCCAGGATAGCTGGGTTTACAGCATACAATAGTGGAGCAGGAAGTGGCCTGCTCACTTATGTAAAGAATGGTCTGATCTGTAAATGGATCAAAACTCAATGATGTATCAACAATTTACAGTAAAGACAGCAAACAGTCAATTTTCGCTGTATAACATCTATGTTTGGTGTAATGAGCTGCGAGCGGACATGTTACCAAAGCCATCAGGTAACAATGTTATGCTGTGTATGGGTGACTAACACATTATACCATCTGGGTTAAGTCAGGGAGGACGGGGGGGCACCACTAAACCACCTCTGTGGACACATGACCCCACCCTCATCAAAGAAGGAGAGAAGGTAGAATAGCTTGCCAACACTTATAAGCAAAATAAAACTAGTGACAACCTCCTGGCATTCCTCAAAGCTAGCAGAGCATTTCGTGAACTCAAAGGTCAGGTGAGAAACACCTATTGGGAACAATTCTTACAGGGGATTAATAGAACAACCACTCTAGCAGAAGTGTGGAACAAAATTAGAGCCATTACCAAGTCACCCACCCCAGTCCAGCTTCATCACAGCCCTGCAGAATATGCTGACATGCTATTAGACCAATGGTCTAGTGTGTCACAAATCATTTCCCTGCCTCCTGACATACAGCAATAGCTTAAAACTACACACGTCAATAGGGGGTTTCAATGTTGAAATAGCCTGCAGACAGACAGATAGACACAGACAGACCGACAGTGAAGAAAATTAACCGACATGAAGACAGACAGAGCAAGTGAGAAGACAAAAAAACAGACAGTTAGACCGTCAAACAAAATGATAAACAGAAGAGAGTGAAAGATAATGCGTGACACGTGTCACGTTCCGGAGCTCGACAAGAGCTCACACGTTTACATTATCGAACCTATCTTGCAAGACCGCAATGGCCCACTCCGTAATAAAAAGTCAGCGTGGTTCCACCTCACAAGAACGAGCAAGTGTCATTAACCAGTATCACTGTTGTCGATCACTGGTAAACTCGGGAGTCATTAACGTTCAGGCTGATTGAACTGTTCCTTGACGATGGCTGACAACTGATTGACAAACGATATGGTTAGGAAAGGTCGGTCTTCTGCCGCTATAACCTTCTGACAGTGACAAAATTAGCCTGGCACGGTTAACATGAACCACTAACTTCAACCTCACCCTGCGCCTGTGTCCGAAATGTAAATGCGTAAATACATACATTATAATGAGTTGATGCATGTTATCCTTACCCTCTCTGTTGCTAATGAATTAAAGGTAAAAAGTGATCAAAACGTTGTGAGTCTAATATCCTAGAGAACCTACTACAAGTGGCACCAGCATCAGGCACTTGATAACAGTGCTAGTGCCTGTTGTTTAGTACATGAACTGAATTAGTTACTTAAGTACAAAAATAAGTAAAACAGCAACACTGGACGTTAGTGGTGCCCTCAGTCGTCTTTGTCACCAAGATTAGTGCTTGTGTACATTAACTCAGAGAAGTGCACGTTATTGATATCTTGAAAGTGTTGCCCTTCTCTCTTTTGTCACCTCTATATTTCTCTCCCTCTTTCTCCATCTTCGTCTTTCTGTCTGTCTTTCTACTTCATACTTTCCTACGTCCTTTCTGTTGCTCTCACTTGTAACCTGCCCACATTCACCCTCTTCCTCTGCCTCACCTTCTCTCCATCAGACCATTATCACCAGGCACAAACATCCACAGGCACCTGACGTCTACTTTGGGGTTTCATAATGTCCCGCTGCTACTCCAGCTAAAGTCTCATATGCATAAAATATTCTCGTAGGTAATAGCGCCTCCGACCGGGTGAAAAATCTCCTCCCACCTCTCTCACTCTCAGGCTCACTCCTACTCTTTGTCTGTACAGCATCTTTATCGAATCTCTTACCATTACAGCATAAGTGACACTCACAGATTTTTCATCTTATAATGCGGCTCTACTCTTAGGGCTTACTGGTGAAAATAATTCCAGTTATTTTTCACTTTAACGTTATGTAGCACAGTGAGAATAACAATCTAGGAGACATTGTATTCATATTTGATCGTTTCCTTTTCCTTGGGATGATGATGAAACTGCTGTAAATGAATGCTCTAAATAAATTGGATAGAGCTGTAAATAATATGAAATAAAAAATAGTTGCATACTTATATAAAATAATATAAGTATGAGGACTTTTAGGAGCAGTTACTTGAAACAACATTAATTCACCACCAATGATAAAAACCTGGAAGAGTTAAGCTCAGGTCGTACCTT